AAATAAATGTCCAAATCCTTGAAATGGATGTCAAAGGTCTGAGTGAGCGCACCTCTTAGGCCCCCAGGTGAAACAAGCTCCTTTTGCACACTCACTCTCTCCGTCCCTCTGCCTGCTTTGTCGCCTGGCCAGCCTCTGCTCTTCTTTCGTGCTCCGTGTAAAAGGTTACTTCCACAGGGAACCTTTTCTGGACTTGTCCCCAACGGCCGAGATGCCCATATCCTATGCTCTCATGGCGACCTATACTCTTCCTTCAAAGTCCTTAACACAAACGTAATGACTAGGTATACTATCAGTTTAGAAATCTGTTGAGCTCTGGCTGGGTGGCTCAGTTGGAGCCTAGTCCTGTACACCAAAGGTTGTGGGTTCAATTTCTGATGAGGGCACATACCTACGTTGCAAGTTCAATCCCCACTCAGGGTGTGTGTGTGTGTGTGTGTGTGTGTGTGTTCTAAAGCCTCTGGAAATATTTTTTCTTTCAAACTTCTCTATTTCTATTTTGCAATTGCTGTCCCAGCAATTCCTGTATTCTGACTATCACTTCCACCCCTCCTTCCCCAACCACTAAAAAATTTTTTTAATTAATAATGGTAGGAGAAAGCCCTGGTACCCACCAAGTCACTTGACAATACAAAATCTGTTAAGCCCTGGTTGGTGTGACTCAGTGGACTGAGTACGGGACTGCAAACCAAAAGGTCACTGGTTCAATTCCCAGTCAGGGCACATGCCTGGGTTGTGGGCCAGGTCCCCAGTGTGGGGTGCACGAGAGGTAACCACACACTGATGTTTCTCTACCTCTCTTTCTCTCTCCCTTCCTCTGTCTAAAAAGAAATAAATATATTTTTTAAAAATCTGTTGAGAACCACATAGCACAAGAGAATCGTTTTAGCAAAAGGAGAATTAATAATAAAGGAAGTGTTCTAGCAAGGCCATGGGTGATTTTCAAAAATCAAAAATGCAATACCCAAACTTACCAAATTATGAGTAATGAGATGCACTCTGAAGATGTTTCAACTAATCATTTTTCTGCCCAAAAACACTATCTTCTAGCCACTGGAAACAGAATTTCAATCCCTCATATCTCACCCCACCACAATTTCACAATTATTCACCCTTACAGCTCTGCCCACTGTACCCCAAACAATATTCAGCAAGAGCTGAAGACGGGCTAAACAGCGGTAAAATCCTAAAGCCTTGGCAATACAAAAAATACTGTACACCTTGACCAGCATGGCTCACCTGGTTGAGCGTCACCCTGCTAAACAAAAGGATGCAAAACAAAAGGTCGCAGGTTTAATTCCCAGTCAGGGCATATGCCAAGGGTTGTGGTGCCCCAAGGCAACCAACTGATGATCTGTTTCTCTCCCTCTCTTTCTCCCTCTCTCCCTCACTTCTAAAAATAAATAAATAAAATCTTTTTTAGGGCTGGACTCTCCAGCGACAATGCCTGTGTCCAAATCCCAGCTCTCAGCAAGCTAATCTCTGGCCTTTAATTCACTACTGTCACAACAATCTTACCTACCCATTAGGGCAGTCAGCATGCAACTAAGCTAACTCAGCGCTGACATGCCTTGAACTTCTGGCTGGTGGGCCCGTACCACCATGAGTGATCTTGTTCACTGGTCCACTAATGAGTGTCTGAATTCAAGGAACGATAGTACTACTAATGTATTTAAACTTAAAGCAGAGGCTGCACCAAAGTCTGGAGGTCAAAAGTCAAAAACACTGCCCTAGCCAGGCAGTTCAGTTGGTTAGGTCATCTGATACAACAAGATTGCAGGTTCGATCCCGGTTGGGCACATACAAGAATCACCCAATGAATGCATAAATAAGTAGAACAGCAAACTGGTGTTTCTCTCTCTCTCTCTTCATCTTTCCCTCTCTGCCTCTCTTGCAGTAAAATCAATATACAAAATTTTTTTTTTAAAGTCAAAAGTGCTGAAGTCAAGGACACTCTGTACCCTTTCTTTTCCTATTCCAGCCAGTTTATATTAATTGCTTTGGAATTCCTAAAGAGTGTCTTCTAATCTTCTTCCCATGGAACTGTAACAAAAGCTACTAATTCTGGCTTCACTTTTGAGAATATGACCTCTGGTTAACACATCCTGATATTTAGCAATGTGAAATGAACAAGGTTTTTCTTCTTGAATAGTTCAAAACACTATTAATTCTAAAAGACTTACGGGGCACCAAAGGCATTTTCTTTGGTCCTCAAGAACAATTTTAGAAATACAATTATTCTCAAAAGTATTAAAACTTGCTGTTGGGAGAAGACTTTTGCTATGCGTCCATGTCATTTGCCCTCACTGAAGATTCTAAATAACACCCTGGCTGGTGTGGCTCAGTGGATTGAGTTCCAGCCTGTGAACCAAATGGTCACTGTTTTGATTTCCAGTCCGGGCGCAGGCTTGGGTTGCCGGCCAGGTCCCCGGTAGGAGGTGTGCAATAGGCAACCACACAATGATGTTTCTCTCCCTCTTTCTCTTTCTCTTTCCCTTCCCCTCTCTCTAAAGATGGATAAATAAAATCTTAAAAAAAAAAAAAAAAAAAAGAAAGAAAGAAAAGATTCTAAATAACTTGATTTGGAGAGAGAAGAGGAATCTCACCTAACTTTTTGGTTGTTGACAATGCTTTTGGGTCTTTTATTTGGCGTGGAGAGCTGGTAAAGTTAGCTGTAATACTATTTTTGGAAGATAAGTAACTGCCCTTTAGCATAAAAAGGGAATGGGGGGCAGAGTGCAAATTCTCAGACACAGCCCCAGATCTGTATTACGAACCAGTAGAGTAATAGAATGTTCCATTGGCCAGGTGGCCCATGAAATTTACAAGGAACTGCAGAAGGCACTGAGTATAGGGCAGGGTTATTAAGACGGTATGGTCCTTGGACCTGGGAGACCCAGGGACCATTTCAGAATGTCTGCGATGGAAAACTGTCATAATGAAACTCAGATGTTACTTGGCCTTCCTCATCATTCTCAAAGTGTTTTCTAACTACAAAACTCAATGAACAGAAAAACTGAAGCCCATGAGAACGTACATGTCTTTTATTAAAGATATTCCTTTCTAATATATTATAATTTATGAATTACAATAAAGATGACTATACATCAAAAAAAGCTTTTGAATCTTTTTAGTTAAAAAAGAACAAAAATCTGCAGGCAGCTGCTGCACAGAATTGTAATGAGCCACATACCGTAAACCATGGATTCAGTGCTTACCCTCCACCCCCCCCACCCCCCCCACCACACACACCCCCCCCACCCCCCACCACACCCCCCCTTGCATATTTCATCCCTGCTCTCTGAAAATGTGCTGGAGAGCAGAAGAGGATGCAGCTCTGGGAAGTGGAAATTAGAGTCTTATCTCTGCCACTCCGCACCTGTGTGGCCTTAGGCAACTCAGTATCTTCGGCTCAAAGTAAAGTGGTTTCCAGCACAGCGGTTAAGAGGGTGAGCCTGGGGCAGTCAGCGGAATGACTTCACACAAATTAACGCACCAATAAACCCAATCTCCTCCTTTATGAAAAAGGGGGGAAAGAGGGATTGGGGGAAAAACAATCACCTCCAGAGAATATGTGAGGATTAAATGAGATAACCCACATAAAAAGCCAAGGACGGTGACGGACATAATTTACAGTCCATACACATTAGGTATTATTACCCATCTCACAGGGTTGTTAGAATCACCTGAGATGTGAAAGTAAAGCATCGCACAAGTTACAAAATAAAAGGAGGACCAGATCTGGCCAGGTAGCTCAGTTAGAGGGTCCTCCCAATACACCAGGGTTCCAGGTTCGATCCCCAGTCAGGACACATACAAGAATCAACCAATGAATGCATAACTAAGTGGAACAAAAAAAAAATCGTTTCTCTTTCTCTTTCTTTCTCTCTCTCTCTAAAATCAATCAATAACTTTTATTTTTTTTTAAGAAGGCAGGTCCAATTGTGCCAGAGAAAGAAAAAAGAAATTTAAATAATCTCAGCCATGAGCAGTCTCTCCATTTAGTAACATCACGCTACCAACACAAGGTCTCATTTTACAAAAACCACTGACCTTCAAGCTTTCCTTGCCATAAACTGAGACAGACCAGGACCACACAACCATCTAAGAGGAAAAGAAATGCAAAAGGGACCACTGTCTAATTACAGCATTTATCCGTTATTGAAAAGGTGTTTCCTTCCTGACTCAAATCTGTGACTTTTCACAACCAGGGTGGCAGGATGACATCAAGGTCTTAAAACTGTGGGCTGAGATAAGCGTTAGGGGCGGCGGGAGGTCCACTTAGCACGCGAAGGCACGCTGCAGAGAAAACCAGACAAGAAATGCCCTTGCAGCGGTCCTGCAAAAGTCCCTCCATCGTGAGCGACCACAGTCTCCTCACCGCTATTCGGGCTCCAAGGCCCCCCGGCCCCCCGCCTCCCACGTGTGCCCAGAGCAGCTGTTTCTCCACTAAAAAGCTCTGAATTGGGAGCCTCGAACACCGGCCTGCTCCTGCCTCGATCTGGGTGACCTTGCGTCAGCCCCTTCCCCGCTTTAGACCTCCGTTTCTCCGTGTGCACCCAGCACACCCGATCAGACAACCCCCTAGGCTCCGCTCCCGTAATGAAAAGTCTCCAGTGCGGCATCCTCCCTCGAATAGGGTGTTCCACCCTGCCGCCGGAGTCAGCTTCCACCTGCGGGGAGACGTCGAGTCTCCCTCGGTGTGGCCCTAACGACGCAGCCTACGGGGAGCGCAGGTCACAGCGAGAGGAAGTGGCTCACACCGGCCGGCGCTGCCGACCTGCCGCTGCCCGGACGGCGCCGCTGCCACCTCAGGGCTCAGGAAGCGCCGCCGGCGCCTACGCGAGGCCCGTGGCTGCGGCCTAGCGGCCCCGCGCGGCCCGCCCCCGACGCCCACGAGCCCCGCTCCCGGACCCTCAGCGCCCTTCCTGGGCCTTTGCCCGGGGCTCGGCAGCCCTCGGCGCTTCCGGCCGGCGACCAGGCTGGCCACAGGCACTCACCGTAAATGGGCCGGAGGCGCCTGTCGTTAGGGTCCTGCACATGGCCCCGCGTCGCCATGATGACAAGCGCAGAACCACAGTGCGCACGCGCGGGGCAAGCCCCCGGGAAAGGGCTGTTAAAGGGCCAGTGCGGATCTCGCCAGTCTATCGCGATGGGACGCGACCCAACGCACCTGCTGCGAAAGCGCTGACACCCCCCCGCCCCACTTTCGCACCCCAGTTTCCTGTTCAATAGGGACTTTTCCTCCCCTGTGATGGTAGAATCAACCTAGCTAGGAGAGGCAGTTGCTGAAGTGGCAGAGGCGGCTGTTGCTGAGAGAGCAGAGGCGGCTGTGGCTGTTGAAATCCCTTCCGAGCTACGTGCTGGGGGAATGAGGACCAGAAAGGAGAAACTTGGTCAAAGTTAGGGCTCGGCCGCTCCTGCTTAGCCTCTTTATCCTCTGTGCTGAAAGACCAGTTAGCCTTGTCTTGAGTTGTTGAGAAACGGGGAACTCCCCTGGGAGAACGAGTTCCAGATCCCTTGACCCCTCTCCTGGGGCTCAGCCAAGGAGGAAGCATCCTAGATGAAGAGTGAACCGGTCAATTGCACCGCAGTAAAGCTGGCAGAAAAAAGTAATTCAGTCAGTATGTGTTGCAAGTTCTTTCAATGTATTATTTCATAAATGCTCGTAACAACTCTGGTATCTTCCGAGGAGGTAGACTTTTTTTTTAATCAATGGTTTATTCATACAAATGGTTACTGAGTGCCTGTTATGTGGCATGGTCTGTCATAGGCACGAAGGATACATCAATAATAAATAGACAGGCTTTGGGGGAGCTTTGCTTATCGTGGGGGAGACAGACAATTAAATGACTGGAATAGATGTACGGGGTGGGCAAAAGTTGGTTTACAGTTCTGAGTCCGTAAAAGTGTTAATAAAGCTGTTGTAATCATCATAACCTGCGTGTCTTTTTCCATATGAATAACTGTAAACCTACTTTTGTCCACCCTGTATATTAGACACGGGAGCCACCTGGAAGTGCTCCCAATAGCCAAAACTAGAACTATTTGAGCGATAAAATTCATAACATAGTAGTGAATTACAGCCTGAAGTATAAGATAAACATACATAAGCCCATGCTGATATGAATTTTTTTTAAAGATTTTATTTACTTAGTTTTGGAGAGAGGAGAAGGGAGGGAGAAAGAGAGGGAGAGAAACATCAATGTACAAGAGATACTCAAAACATCGATCAGCTGCCTTTCACATGCCCCCAACTGGGGATGTGGCCAGCAACTCAGGCATATGCCCAGACTGGGAATTGAACTGGTGATCTTTTGGTTCTCAGGCCAGCACTCGATCCACTGAGCCACACCAGCCAGGGCATGAATGTTGAATAAATAAATAGATAGATAGAAGAGACTCATTGTCATTATAGCATTTTGTGTAGCTACTTCCCCCTCCAGAAAGTGAAGCTTCACTTTCCCCTTAGCACTTGAGGGTTAGCTGGAGTTATGTACCAATCTCCAAAGAGTTAAGTGTAGAAAGGGAAAAATAATAACCTCACAGGGGAGAAACCTGGTAAAAACTACCTTAACTAATAGATCGAAGTTAACGTTATCGATGAGAATTATGTTGATAGGTACCCCCAACAGGATGCGAAGAGAAGGCAACTAGACTTCTGTAGTATTTTTCCAGAAAACCCATAAACCCAGACTAATGATAATGACACCATGAAACAAATCAAACTGAGCAACATTCTACAAAATACCTGACCTGTACAGTACTTTTCAAAACTGTCAGGGCTGTGCAAAAATAAGGAAACAATGAGAAACTGTGACAGTCCAGAACAATCTAAGGTTACATGACAACTGCACATAATGTGATATCCTGGTTGCAATCCTGGGGCAGAAAAAGGGCATTAGTGGAAAAACAGTTAAAACCCAGATAAATTCTAGGGGTTAGTTAATAGCATTGTGCTAATGTTGTTTCTTATTTTGGTGAATGTATTATAAGATGTTACCATTAAGGAAAAGTGAGTGAGGAATATGTGGATACTCTCTATACCCTCTTTTCAGCTTTTCTGCAAATCTAAAATTATTCCAAAATAAAAGATTTTCAATGTATCATTTTCAATAATCAGTGAGAGGGCTATTTTTAAAAAACCAGATGCACTAGAAACTCTCATTTCAGCTCTGTCCCAAAGCAAGCTAAGAGAGAAAATTTCAGTAGCAACTGCACAGAGAAATTCGTATCGAGAATGAAGGTCCATTAATAAAGATACAGCCTGTGATCCTTGGAAAATCATTCCTAAGGCTTTGGAGGCTTTCAAATGACCCAGATAGAAAGGTTGTCCTCAGGGAGAGGGGGTGGGGCGGTGGAGTTCCCAAAGCGTGGTCCCGGATCAGCAATGTCAGCATCAGCCCGGGAACGTGTTAGCCAGGCGCTGCCCCAGACCTGCTGAATCAGAAAACTCTGGCAGTGGGACCTACCAGTGTGTATTTGTGTAAATCCTCTGGTGATCTGCATTCAGACAAGTGTGATTCTTCTGCTTTAAGTCAGAGGTGGGTATACTTTGACCCAGGGGCCAAATCTAGCTTATTACATGTTTTTGTGTAGCCTCTGAGTTAGGAATGGTTGTTACATTTTTAAATGGTTGTGAAAGAAATGGAAAGAACATTTAATGACCTGTGGAAATTCTATAAAATATAAAGGTCAGTGTGTATAAACAGAATTTTCTAGAACACAGCTATGCCCATTCATTTGCATATTATCTGCAGCTGCTTTGGTGCCATAATGACAGCACTGCAGGTGAAGCAGAGACCACGCGGCGTAGAAAGGCTAAAATATTTACTATCTGGCCCACCCCAGAAAGAGTTTGTCAACCTCTTCTCTAGGATAATGGATGGCATCTAAATACCCCCAGGGTAGAATTGTCAGGTAATTGAACAATGTGATATTTGGGACATATTTATACTAAAATGATATTCAGTATTTCACATTTAACCAGGAGCCCTGTATTTATTTGCTAAATCTGGTAACCCTATCTCAGGGAGAACTCCATGCTCTCAAAATCACGCTGACCAGCAAGAATGAAGGTCAGGAGCCTCAGGTAGGCTGACTCCAGGATCGCTCTAAGATGATGTGGCCAGGTATGACCAGGCTCAGGTTGGCCTTACAAAAGAGAGAAGAGAGAGGGGACCAGGCTCAGGTAGGGCGAAGAGGAACAACACTCATTCACGGTTGTGCACAAGAAAGAGCCAGTGAGTCACCTGAGTTTGAAGAATTTCCCAGAATGGAAAAATACAGCACCTCCAAAGGGCCACGGAGGAGGCTCCTGGCCAGGACGGTGGTTGCTCAGCGAGGTTCTTAGGTTACCTTTGTTGGCCTGGCCCCAGAGGAATGCTGACGGGCTGGGCACCCTGTGCCCCGACCTTGGCGAGGACCAGAGCACGACGGACCTGCCTAACAGAGGCCTCTCCATCCTTGAGCCACCATCCCGGGCAGAACATATCTCCTTCCACCCAGAAAGCCCGTTGCGCATCCAACTAGGACGAATGGGGCTTCCCTTTTCCCATTCCTACCCCTTGTCCTCCAGAGCCTAAGGCTGAAGCTGTGACCTGGCTCTGGGCCTGTCCTTACCTGCTCCCTGAGAGGCAGCTTCCACACCCTTTGGCAGACATGAATCATTCCAGCTAACAAATGAGATGACCCACAAGGGAGCCAAAAACCCATTTTTCTTGCTGTGCGATTCAGAACTTAGAGCTATGAGCGCTGACATGGGAAAGTGCTTGGCACACAGCAGGTGCTCATTAAATAAGCCTTTCCCTTTTCTGGACTTAGAACAGGGGGCACGCCCTCCATTCTTTCCCTGTTTGGTGGCAGCTTTGCTCTGGTGAGAAACCCTCTCACTCAAGAGCCGAGACACACAAGGGTGCATTGTGCCTGCGTGGCTGGAGGACACAGGGCGGGGACGCCTCGCTCGGATGTAGTGATTGTGCGTATCTCCACCCAATGATTTTCTAGTTTTCCTTTCCCGTCTGTGACTACGTTCCAATATCTGGTCCCAATAACCCTTCACAGAATAAACATGTAAGTGCATGCTTCTTAGTTTTTGTGGCAGATTGCCTGCGCTTTTGACAGTAGAATAAACAGCAGCTCTGACTCTGAAATCAAACAGACTTGGGTCTATATCTGGACACTGCCATGTATCAGCTGTGTGACCCTAAGCAAACGACTGGATAGCTCCGAGCCTCAAGTGTCTGCATTTGTAATATTATGGCACTACCAGGACCTACTTCGCAGGGTCGATGTGAGGAGTCAGGGCTATGATCCACGGGGAGAAACAAGCAGAAAGAGAGCACTCAACGACAGTCATGCGTTATCACTGTTTTATACTAGTAATACTGTTATTACTCCCTTCTCTTAAAACGGCAGGAATCACCTCCTGCTACTTTGCGACACCGAGGAAGGAATGGTCCCCATCTGATGGGTCCTCTGGGGGGAGTAATATCTTGGAATCTCCCGTACCACTTCGCATAAAGTAGGCTGAAAGAACAAGGTACAGAATTAAAGGTGCACAAGGCAGAGAAACAAAGCCCTGGGGGCTCAGAGTCTGGGAGAACCAAGGTCACGGTCTCGGTTTGCCCAACAATTGCTGTGTTGATCCTGGGCCTCCTTTTCCCCATCAGAAATGGGTCCCATCTACCTTTCAACAGCCCCTCTGCAGCCTTTGTCCACCCACCCCAGCACTTCCACTTCTGTCCACCAGGTGGCATATGAATGCCACGTTGCCCAGGCTACTTTCCAAATCAGAAAGGATCTCATTGTTAACTATTTTTTAATAAAACTTAGCAAATACGAAGTCTTTGTAAGCTATCTCTGTATAATTTTATACTCCGATTTATTGATTTAGTATTTACATATCGTAACATTCACCCATTTTAAGTGCACAATTCAATGATTGTTTAGTACATTTCACAGGTTGGCAACCACTGCAGTAATCCAAATTTAGAACATTTTCATCACCCAAATAATACCCCTCTATAAGCTATACTTTTTAAATTATGAAATGTTTCACAATGTGTGAAAGTAAAAAGAACGATACCCATGTTCATACATGACGCAGGTCTAACAAATGCTAACATTTGGCCAGCATAGACTTTTAAAAACTAAACTTACTGGAGTGATCTTGATTAATAAGATCACGTAGGTTTCAAGTGCACAATACGATGCATCATCTGTATACTGCACCACATGCCCACCATCCAGTCAGGTCTTCTTCCGTCACCATATATCTGGTCCCCTTTACTACCTCCTCCCTCCCTTCCCTCTGGTAAGCACACTGTACTGTTGTCTGCAAGTAGCAATTGAGTGCCTTCTATGTGTCTGAGTGTGCTAGGCACCAGGCCAGGAATATG